TTAAGTCACCCAAGTACCTATTCACTGAGGAAGATCCCAAAGAAACATATGGCACATTTCCCCCTTTAATAAATTAGAAATTGTATTATGGACATAAAACTGGAAATAAGTATAAGAACAAATATAAAACATTAAGTTCAATAAAAAATTTGACTCAAATAGTAACCAGGGAAAAGAAGCGTTAATAATCATTGGTAACTGGACCTCAGGTGCAACCTAACACAATGCTCACTTCCTGGGCTGGTTTAATCCTAGCCCATAATCGCTATAGATGATCACTTAACATTGCTAGTATCAGAGAACAAGGGCAGGCAGGCCTTCTGTTACTGGGAGAAAAGGAACATGATGTATATAAAGGAAACAGGATCAAGACAACTGAATCAGCAGTATCAAAGGACATTTTCTAATGGGAATTTATGTGGTCGAGAGGGAAAGAAAAAGGGAGGCTAGCAAGTATCCATAAGCAATCCAATACAGGTGGCCGGAAGTATGCACCAATGATGTGACGGTGAACTGGAATTCCAAAGCCAATAAGAGAAATTAAGTAAAAACCATTAAAATTTAACAAATCAACCAATCAATCAGGTCTGTCCACTTCCCTGCCCTTGTCTGTCTCCTTTGTTCTAAACCAGGAGAAATGAAGCATAGACAAACTGATGATCACTTAAGTACGCAAATCCACAGAAAGGCAATTTCCTCTAGGTAAGTAACAATTTTTGTTGGACAGGTGCTAACAAAGGCTGCTTCTACTGGTCAATGGCAGGTCCCTCTTAATGAGAGGTGGGCTTCTTTGCATGTGAATTAATAGCTTCTGGTGTTTTCTATATCTAAAGCTTGAGTTTTTTAAACTAAACCCATTCAATATTTCCAAGTTTACCAACTTCTGAATGCAGAGTAAATATGAGGGTATCTTACAGGTAATTATTATACTCTGAGTTTGAGACAAGTTTTCCTTTCCCTACTTTGGCTGAACAAACTTCTAAGACATATGTGTAAGTAGTTATTTATAAAAGTACTATTTATTTTTTAATAGAGATGGGGTCTTGCTGTGTTAGAACTCTTGGCCTCAAGCAATCCTCCCACCTTGGGTTCCCAAAGTGCTAGGATTACAGGCGTAAGCCATTGTGCCCCGCCTACTTATTCTAAAATGTGGCAAATTGCTTTTCTTTTGAGACAGGGTCTTACTCTGTTCAGTGAGTATGGTGGAGGCTGGAATATGGTGGTGCGATGTCAGCTCACTGCAACCTCTGCCTCCTAGCCTCAGGTGCTCCTCTTACCTCAGCCTCCAGGTGCATGCCACCATACCCGGCTAATTTTTATTTTGTTTTGTTTTGTAGAGATGGGTTTTACCATGTTGCCCAGGCTAGAAACGAACTTTTTCAAATAGGAAAATGATTAGGTAGTATCTAACTTTATTTTTAATTATGATGATAAAGACAGGAGATTTAAACACTACGGCTTAACAGGGAATTGGCCTAAGTGCCATCTAACAAAAGAACTACTGGACAAATCCAAATTTGTCTCAGACTTCGGTACAAGGTATCTAATCCTCTGTACTCTTAAATTCTTTCTGGGTCTCTGAAGCACGTTACCCAGGTACTGTTTCTCACATACTGGCTATATGACATCCCAGAAGTATACTTTCTTCCTTGTTCTCTTAGACAACTAGTCTGTGCAAAACAAACCTTAAGACATATTTTTTAAGTTTTACAGAAAGAATGGCACCAAACAATTGTCCAACTAAAATCCGTATAAAATAAGTATAGGGTACTGGAGTTAATCATTACAAAAGAGCATAGGATAAATTTTCATTTAAGAAGTCATTACTTTCCGTCTTTATGGAGGAAGACAGAGCTATCATTGTAATGCCCCCAAAATGAGTGAGATTTAGTAAGTGCTAATTCTGTTAATGGTGCTTATGATTTTACATAAAGTGAAACTTCTTATTAATTAGTTCTTCATTATGTGATTTCTTTGTCTTTATGAAATTAGTGGAAGAAATAAAATTGTTAACATTTTTGGAAGAGGTCACAGTCTGAGGTTCAGATTATAGTTCTTCTATCATTTTGGACAAGCTGTTAAAATTCATATTCATTTCTTATACTTTCACTGCTGCAATTTATTGACTGCCATGGCAGAATATGATATAAAGGGAAATTTCAGAAAAATATGACTTTCCTTTTATTATTTGTTTGTTCTTTTTTTTTTTTTTTTTTGAGACAGAGTTTTGCTCTTGTCGCCCAGGCTGGAGTACAGTGGCACGATCTCGACTCACTGCAATCTCCGCCTCCCAGGTTCAGGCAATTCTCCTGCCTCAGCCTCTTGAGTAGCTGAGACTACAGGCGCGAACCACCACGCCCGGCTAATTTTTGTATTTTTAGTAAAGACAGAGTTTCACCATCTTGGCCAAGATGTTCTCGATCTCCTGATCTTGTGATCCACCCGCCTCAGCCTCCCAAAGTGCTGGGATTACAGGCATGAGCCACCATGCCTGGCCAAATGTAACTTTCTACATAAGAAGACAGAAAAAGAAATCTATTTTGAAAGGACCTAGAATAATATTAAAGATGAAAGGCTGAAACAAATGGCTCATTCTTGCTTCTCATTATTTAAAACAAAATACTACAATTATTTTTATAATTTCCAAAGAAACTCCCTCACTAATTTCATTATTTCAAACCTACACATAAGATGAAGTTAAACTGAAGCTAACATGAAACAGGTATTATGTTATCTATTGTCTATTTCTCTAATGCTTTTATCCTTCTTCTCAATTACTGAGGATACTCATTCAATAACAAATATAACTTAGAAGACACTAGCATACAATGAAATCACATCATAATAACAACTAATGTTTATTAAGCACATAATACTTGCCATGCACTGAGCTAAACACAGATTAACTAAAAAGATAAATTTAATCCTGACAGCTAATCCTGACAGATTAATATATTGACATTTTCATTTTACATACAGATAAGGAAACTGAGGCCTAGCAAAATTATGTGGTCACACAGCTATTAAGTGATAAAATCAGGCAACATAATGAAGTATTTGAAAGTAACCACAGTTAGCGACACGACTGATTTCTCTCCAAAGCTAGAAATAGGTCTGGTCAGGTACTGTGGAAAGGTCTGGTATTATCCTGTTGCACAATCTTAGCAGATTTTATAGTAATAGTGGCAAGATCCCTCAATCATTAAAGAGCAAGTAATTGTTCCTTTAGCTTTATATCTATAGGTAGATTCTTTCAAATGGATAAACACTTACATAACAAGAACCAAGAGTCAAGTGAATCCTGGAGGTAAGGAACAAGTGTGATGTGGGAGAATATTAGTTTTACGAGCATTCGAAAAACTGCAGTTATTCCCAAGGCAGGCACAACCGCACTCGTGTGTGTACATAAACGACTGTGTAGGAGGCAATTTACTTTATGTTGTACAGTGCTGTCACATATGTCACACATATATCCTTTAACTGCTCCTCCTTCCAAATACTAGAAGTTCTCTCAATCCTTGTGATTACCCAATATATATATCCCTACACATTTTCTGCTGACCCTGACAAAGAACCTTGATTGTTGGATAAAAATACTGGGAGAGAAGTAACTGACATGAATTGTACATTGTGCACCAGGGACTCTGCTAGATGCATTCACACACATTCATTTACTCTTCATAACCCTGTATGAGGTAAGTACATATTTCATCACCATTTTACAAGTGTGGCCTCTGAGGCTCAGAGCAAGGTTATGCAACTTAACCAAGGACACATAGCCAGTTTTGAAACCAACAGCGTGGCTCAAAAACTATACTACTCAAACTTGGCCTTTTAAGCCACAACAGCGAGCGAGGGAGGTGTGACTTTCCTTTCTTTAAAGAGGTTCATTCAGAAAGTACAAATTCTTCTAAGTAGGAACCACGGTGTGTACCCACTAATGAACCAGGGATAAATTCGTTCCCTGGGTTAGGGATGAGGGGCCACAGGCGCAGTGCCATAGAGTTACATGAGGTGTGTTCAAGATTTGGGCTGGGCAGCTCCTATGAACAGGTATATGTTAGAATGCATGTGTGTGTTTTCAGGGGAATAAGAGAGTTGTGTTATGCTGTGTGAGGTTTAAGTGTTTCATTTAACACACAGCAGTTACTATATACCAGGCACCATTAAAATAGCTGGACAAGATCACATTTCAGCATGTATGTTAGGTGAGTGAGCAGGGTATGCATTGCGTGATGTGTGGCGAGCTGCTGTCTGTGCAGCTACATACACATAAGGTTATGGGTATTGGGCTGTGCTGGAAGGGAAAGGTCCGCTGTGATGTGTGTGTTTAGAATGGCAGTTTGTGCTGTGGTACAGATGGTAGCGTTTGAGGCTGGGGGAAGGATTATGCTGGATTACTTGTGTGCAATGCAGACGGGAAGTGCTGCAGGGGAAAGACAGTGTATGTAGCGCACATGTGGATTTTGTGTGCATTACGGATCATGCTGAATACCGGAGTTCCACAGGAAAGGATCTAGGTTGTGACCTGGGCCTATGTATGGTGCGTGCAGGTGCTGTGGATTGGGGTGCTTCGTATGTGTAGCGGTGTGTGCTAAAAGTGGTGCATACAAGATGATTCACGCGGTGTGCTGGGTAGGGACGGGGGCTGGAGCATTGCAGAGGTGGGCCCCGCGTCGTGATGTTGTGTGGAGCGATGCCGAGTGTGGTAGGTGGGGATGGGGGGGGGGGATCGTGCTAAGTGACTCGCGTGCGTTCCCTGTGTAACCGGAGGCGCTGTATGGAGAAGCAGCATTGAGGGGTGGGGGAGCAGGCTACCTTGCTGTGAGACACCGGGCGGGCGGAGGGGCTGCGTGGGCGGCGGGCTGCCAGCGCGAGTGCTTGGAGCAGCCAGCCGGCTTCCTCACCCAGAGCCATGCCGGGCCATCCTCCCTGCCACCCCCCCTCCCGCCTCTTCCCTCGCCCTTGGACGCGCCCCCTGCACCACCGGGCCGCCCCACCTGGTAAAGGCGAAGTACATGAGGCTGACGATGGTGAAGCTGAGCAGGGTGATGGTGTGCGGCCGGTAGAAGAAGTCAATGGTGATGTCCTCCACTTGCTGCTCGTTGATCATCCGGAAATGCATTTTGTAGTTCACATCATCCTTGCTCAGCGTCCGGCTCCCCACGCAGGACGCCATGGCCCGCTTCCCCGTCCTGTCGCGGTGGCGGCGGCCCCAGCCCGCGGAGGCCGGGACCCCGGGGGTGACGAGCCACAGTAGGAGAATTGCCGGACTGCGAAGCCGGGTCTGGCGCCCAGCAAAGGCTGGGAGCTGAGGAAAGGACAGGCGCGAGAGGGCGGGGTCGCGGCGCCGCCACCGCGGCCTGGGACAGGGGGCGCCGCCGACCGTCCCCACGCTGTTGTCCCGGCCGAGGCATCTCTATGCACTCGAGGAGACTTCAGACTTCAAGTCCACGGGGACCCAGGAGAGGGGCATGCCGGAGAAGGGCAACTGGGCCCCCTGGCTGACTCTTTCTCGCCCACGCAGCCAGCCGTCTCCCCGCGCAGCCCGGCACATGGTCTCGCCCACTCCGGCCGCAGCCCACGTGGGCCGGGGAGCGCGGCTGCGCTGGGCCTGGCGGGCGGCGGAGCGGGCGTGCGGCGCCGCGGGACAGCGCGCGCGGTCCGGCGAATCGGTCGGTCCCCGGGGCACCGGCTACGGGGCGCAGGCCTACCCACAGGTAAAGCAGGAGCTGCCCCAGCGCGGGAATGGCGCTCCTGGCAGGGGTTCCGGTCCTGGCGCACCTGCGTCAAGGCCGCGCCCCAGGGCCTTTAGGTTTTCGCGGCCCAGTCGTGGGTGATTGGTTTGGTTTTGTGTTTTTCCCCGGCTGGTGTAATGAAAACTCAACCATGCTTGCTGATTAGTGCTGTGTGAGAATCTTCTGGAGGGGGCTCTGCCTTCCTGCGGAAGTTAGGTTTGGGGAACTGAAATGGGCTAAAATGGCCTAGGGAAGTATTGAGAGACCCTTTATTCGGAAGCTACCCCTGTAACCTACCTTTCTTATTGACTTTATTTATAACCTTTCATAGGTAGAAATCTTGAACCCTCGAAATACTATTTCAGTGCCTTTTTCTAGCAAAGCGCTAGGTACATATATATATGAGCTGTATATATCAATTGTTAATAGACTAGAGTTTCTTTGAGTTTTCTGTAATTTTGCTGATGAAAGGACCGTGTTAGAAGACTTACGGTTACCACCTAACAGGACTTTTATACGCATCTGCACATGCCTTACCTGCTTTTGCATACTGTGTAAGAAAGTGAGTTAACTGTACTTGCCATGATTTCTTTCCATTCCGCAATCATTAGAGCAGTGCAGGGCTCTGGGAGAGTGGAGAATAGTCCCTAGAAGGGTGGATTCCAAGATGAGACCCAGCCCTGCTCTTGTGAATGAACAATTAATCAGTTAAGATGTGTAGGCAACAGTGAAATAGTGTGGAGCAGATAGTGCACTTGCAAATAAAAACGCAAGGATAAACAGTTGTATGCACAAAGATGTTTTAATGAATGGATGAAATTTGAAAGTGAATCTTCCTGATGTTTCAGGGGTGTTGAGTGTGGAAAGGCTTCAGGGTGAATTTGGGATTTCAGGAGTTTGAAGTAAGATGAATTGCTTAGACGTCAAAAATGTTAGAGCTGATAGGGGCCTTATGAATCATTTTATTGTACCCTTAGCCTTTAAAAAAATTGTTTGAAGAATGGTTATTGACTCCCCACCCTCACACCATGAGCTAGACATTTTGTTAGACGGCTGCCAGAAATAGCCTTGTTAAGGTAGCACATCCGAGATCTGCTTCCCATTTAGTGCCCTTACGACCACTGTGCAGAGAATGAATGCCGTAGGTTTGAGGGAAAACTTGGCACATTTGGAGTCTCGTTTCCTACCGAAATCTAACAAACACCTCCTGTCCCATCAGGTTATTGTGAATACTTACTTTTCTAAAAATCATCCCAGAATGGGCCTAGCGCAGTGGCTCACACCTGTAATCCCAGTACTTTGGGAGGCCGAGGTGGGTGGATCACCTGAGGTCAGGAGTTCGAGGCCAGCCTGGCCAGCATGGTCAGCATGGTGAAACCTCGTCTCTACTAAAAACAGAAATTAGCCGGACGTCGTGGCGGATGCCTGTAATCCCAGCTACTTGGGAGGCTGAGGCAGGAGAATCACTTGAGCCTGGGAGGTGGAGGTTGCAGTGAACCGAGATTGCACCACTGCACTCCAGCCTGGGTGACAAAGTGAGACTCCATCTCAAAAATAAATAAATAAAATAATTGCAGAATGAAAGGAGACTTTCACTTTTGTAAAATCTCTTTAGCAAACTTCCCCAAACTACAAATCTCCAAGAAGAGATTAGACCCTCAACTATTTGGTCTAATTTAGAGGATAAAACAAGCCAAATTCCACTATGTAGAAAAATAGCATAAAGTTGTAGGCAGCAGTTGATTCAGCAGAATCCATTTGTATTTAGTTGTGTAATCAATAATAATGGCTAACATTTATTGAGCATTTCTTATATCCTGACTCCATCCTGTGTTTTATATGGATTGTCTTATTTAACATAAGATTATAGGCATCAAAGTTGCCTTTTTAAGTAGCTGGCTAAATATAAAATCCCTTTATATTCCTGGAATTTAACATAGCGCTTGCCTTTCTTGATAAAAAATCTTTTTGAAAAGAACTACTTTTTAAGTCAAAATATACATTTATTCATTGCTGGTTGCTTATATATTTCTGTCACTTGGTTTTGTTTGTTAGTTTTGACCTTTTCTTTTTGAAGGCTTTTTTCTCCTTTCCTACAGTGAAGCAAAACTTAACAAAACTGGTTTTGTTCAATTCCCTTTGAAGAACAACTTTATCTGTGAAATAATCAACAGTGTTTAGCCCTGAGAATGAAGCAAGAAACTGCTTTCACTGTTCTATATGTCAATGATAATATTTTGATGATTCGTTTGGGACACAGATCTCTGTGTTTTCATTTTGGACTAATTTATAGACATAAAATGCATTTGAATAATTCAGTGTTACTTTGTTCAGCAATCTGCTGCTGAAATGTCCTTCACACCAAATTTCAATAACACTTAATTGCATCATCTTATTCTCTTTAAATGATTGAATTAACAGATTAGTGAGGTCCCCTGTCATTTGAACATTTTCAGATTTGTGTTTTAAGCGTTTTTCTTAATGCCAGTGGTTTTGCAGTTTGTTTTTTAATTGTAAAGTATATCTTTATTTTTCCAGCTCAGAAGTTCCTTTCTGTTGGTTTGCAACTGAGATTGCCTTGTTGTTGGCTTTTCCTGTGCATAAGAAACATCTCACTATTTTAGACTAAATATATTTAAATACCTTTCATTTAGAAAAAAATAATTTCCAGTTTATCATTTTGTTGTTTGAATACTGTTTTAAACACGTAAGTAAATTAAATTTCTCTTAACAGTTATTTCTTTCCTTTGTAGACTACTTTAAGAAAAATGGCTTTGTCAGCCCAACAGATACCCAGATGGTTTAACTCAGTTAAGTTGAGGAGCCTCATTAATACTGTGCAACTCACAAAACGTTTTACTAGACCAGGGAGAACATTGTTACATGGCTTTTCTGCTCAGCCTCAGATGTCCTCTGACAATTGCTTTCTCCAGTGGGGATTTAAGACTTACAAGACTTCCTCCTCATGGAATAGTTCCCAGACTACTAGCTCGGGTAGTCAAGAGAATAATTCTGCCCAAAGCACTCTGCTTCCTTTGACGAATGAACAATCAGAGAAGACACAAAAGATACCCAGCTTTGATTCTGAGGTGTTTCTAGAAGGTAATTCTGAACTTTCAGAAAACTCTCCCTTTCCCTACTTTGGTCATTTAAACGAGCTGCCTGTTTACAGGTTACTAGCTCATTTTAGGTAATATTTTGTACCAAGCAAGAAAAAAATAATGCCAGTTCTATTGATGGACTTCTATCATGCCTTTATTTTACTGGCTAAGAAAAATAAGTTTGTGGGCTAACGTGTAAGATTATTTTATAGCTACACATAAAGCATTTGCTTTCTAAATACTTTATTGTTTAGATTCTTAAAAAATTTTAAGTAGTAATTAGGTTTATTAGGGTATAATCATATCAAGTAAAATTCATCTTTTGGGGTATACAGTTCTATGAATTTTGACATATGCATTTAGTGTGTAACAACTACTGCACTCAACAAATAAGACAGTTATATTACTGCAGACAGTTTTCTGACGTCGCTTTTTAGTCCTCTACTTCCTGTGAATCCCGTTCTAGGAATATTTCACTGCTAATGAAATAATATGAGGTTAAGTAGAATATGAAGGAAAGAGAGCTGGGGAGAGGGTAGGGAGGAGAAGCTGGCTATAATTGATGAAAAAGGATAGTTAATGATAAGAGGCAAAAAATAGAACAAGAGATCCTAGACCCAATTCCTTAGCTTAAGGTAATGTGTAGTTCTTTTTTTTTTTTTTTTTTTTTGAGACGGAGTTTCGCTCTTGCTACCCAGGCTGGAGTGCAATGGCGCGATCTCGGCTCACCGCAACCTCCGTCTCCTGGGTTCAGGCAATTCTCCTGCCTCAGCCTCCTGAGTCGCTGGGATTACAGGCACACGCCACCATGCCCAGCTAATTTTTTGTATTTTTAGTAGAGACGGGGTTTCACCATGTTGACCAGGATGGTCTTGATCTCTTGACCTCATGATCCACCCGCCTCGGCCTCCCAAAGTGCTGGGATTACAGGCTTGAGCCACCGCGCCCGGCCCTGGTAATGTGTAGTTCTAAATGTCTTCCATACTGTGTTTGATTTTAAAAAAACAAAAAAACCATCAGAATCAGGCCTGTACTAGAGAGAATCACATCTCCTGTAGAGAGGACTACAGGTTGTAGAAACAATCATAGAAGTCCTCTTAAAGATGTGTTTGAGGATAATTTGGAGGGAGGGCATTGGGTCAAAATAAACTTTCAGGATATGGTTAATTTAACCCATGCAATTTAGGCTATTGGCATATGAATACTTTTGGCCAAGTTAACAGGCTATAGTAGATTCAATCTGTTTCAAAATGCACTTGAAAGTCTGGTGATCTTTAGCATTCTCACCTACTGATTAAGTGAAGGAAAGGAGTTGTGTGCTTTGAAATTTACCAACAATTTCTAATCTTGGAGTAACAGTAGTTAGTCTGTCTAAATAGTTTTAACCTTACCTCTTAAAAGTTGAAAAATTTGGGGGCGTCTTGGATGTTTAATTCTAAAATGATCCCAAGATTTAACCACTGAAAGAAGCAAACAAGGCAAGAGGCAGTCGTTGTAGAAATAGTCTTAAGTGTGCATATCAGAGCACTAACTTGTTTCTCTCTTTCAAAGAACTGGATGATTTGCCTCCATTGTCTCCAATGCAGCCAATTTCGGAGGAAGAGGCTATTCAGATTATTGCAGCCCCTCCACTGCCCCCATCTTCATTCACACTACGAGACTATGTGGATCATTCTGAGACTTTGCAGAAGCTAGT